TTGTTGTTGTTCTAGTAAAGTTGCTTCATTTTATTCCTTTATTATTATTCTCATGGTATTTGGGAAAGGAAAAGAGATAGCACATGAAGGCAATGTTTTTGTTTCATTGAAGGCTACCAATTTTGTTGATGATATTTATTGTTCAACTTTAATACGCCAACCACTAGTTCACAAAAGCCTTTAAATGATTGATATCATCTCTCTTTTTTCTGATAAGGATTCTGAAATTCAGAAAAATTCATTGTTATATAACAAGCCAGGTTTTTCGGTCTTAATTGTGTACAAGAATCAACAAAGTCATATGGAAAAAAATAAAAATGAAAATAGAAATGACCCATAATCCCATAAAAAATAAATAAAACAATCATTATGGTCACCTATTATTCACCAAAATGCAGCTGGAGTGGAAAAGTAGAATCAGAGGACAATTATCTACTCTCTTGTGTTCAGAACAATGCTGGTAAACAAGCACATACCCCTTTCAATCCATCGCTCAAAATCGACAGGCTCTTTAGATTTGGTCTTTTCAATCTTCAAGGTCCGCACTGACATTGTAAGTAAACAAAATGTTAATTACCTTTCTGACTCTATGTTGTTTTCTCTGTATTTCTTTTTCCCTCTGCCAGAGACTGACATGCATTGGTAGAACTAGAGTATTGGGATCAGAAATACCATGTTCTGGAAGTTATCCATTCTGTTTTTCTATATATCCCCATGGTAAAATGTGGTCTTTCCTTTTTTTTTTTTTAAATAGTACTGGGGATTGAACCCAAGGCTACTCTACAACTGAGCCATATCTAACCCTTTTTCTTTTTTTTTTTTTTTAATCTTGAAACTGTTTCTGAGGTTGTCCTTGAACTTTGCTACTCCTGCTTCAGTCCCCTGCCTTCCCTGAGTCTCTGGCATACAGGCGTGCACCTCAGTGCCACAGAACTGGGCTGTGTAATGGTGATCTTATAATGTTTATAACTGTAAAACATAAAGCTAGTGGAGCTGTTTTGAATTTGATCATCATCCACAATTTTTTTATATACTGATGAAAACATTGGTGGTCTTGGTCATAAACATTTATGAAGAACCTATTATGAGTACAGGCATTTTTTTGTTGTCTTGTGACTACAGTCTTAAGAGAAAAGTATTACTAATCTATTCTACTGATGAGGATGTAAGCTTAGGGAAGCAAGGTAAGATGTTTAATGAGAAAGAACAAGTAAGGAGAAGTGAAATTAAACCTCAAGGACTGTCTGACTCCAAAGCCTATGCAATTAATGGTAGAGGAGAGACTGAGCCATGCAYCTTCCTTCTGCACTGTGTTCCCTTCCCTGTCTTCACCTAGTCTCTGCCGCTCTAGATCCATTCCTCCTCTTCTCTGTCTTGTCCTGTGCCTTGAATGGCTGACCCCTGTGGACTAGTCTCCTGGACTTACCCATTGGCTTCTGAGTGGAGTTGGCCAGTGGAGGCACCAGGAGTGGACAGAGGGCTGTAAGAAGTAAGATTCTTATTCTCTCTCCACTTCCTCTCTGCTTTGGTGTCAGGTGTTGGACAACAGTCAAGTCCCTTCATGATCACAGCTCCTGCTGGGCAGGATCTGGCTCTCACTGGGGTGAGATAACATTATCTCCTTGCCTTGTCCCAGGGAAATAATGGCCTCCTGCTGTAGCTAGTTTCTGAGGGCCTCATCATCCCTTGTTTATTCCCTTAGCCCAAGACATACTTTCATAAGTGGACCCATCAATAAAACCTCTTCATTTGAAACATTTGGGATGTGTTTTGTTTCCTGCCATGATTTTGTCTGATATACTCTATCCCTAAATAAACACACAGGATTAGAAGAATGTTTCAATGGGAGATTCTGTTCCTAAATTCCCAGAAAATATCATTATTAATAGAAGAATCAACACCGTTCAATGTGAAAAATCAGGGTTATTGAATTTTCAGCAAGAATTTGATAGAGAACTCCAGGATGAATGAATCTAGGGAAAAAAGATGTCATGGAAACTAGCATTCTGGCAAGTCAGCTTCTTATGTTCATAATAGGGTCTTTTGCCAAAGACTTTCATGTCGTAAATTGCATGGAAATTATTATGTGCTTTGGAAGGGTTTCAAATTTGCAGTTTAAAGAGGTTAGTTGTGCTGAAGGCAGTTAACCCAGAATCCCTACCCTCCCATTCCAGCAATAAAACTGGATTCCACGCTGTGAAGAAAAACTAGGGTTTTGCCAAAAGTTTACATATATGTCCTCTGCTTATAGAAAAATTAAAGGATGGTGAAAATTAATGTATGATTTGCTTACCTAAGTAACTTTGGATTATAAGTTTTTCAACCTTTACATGTTTGTGAAAACATATAATGAACTCCTGGGGAAACATTCCTGTGGTGGTCCAAAATGTTTCTGGATTCCTGTCGTTAATTTGAAAGAAAAAGAAAAATAGCTAAATATAAAAGTTAAATCATAAAGTTCTCATGATAAGTATTATAAAAATGACTATAGGATTATGACAATCCATTTCTGTTAATTCTGCCTCTAATCTCTCCCCAAGTTTAATAATTCTTTGCTACCACCAGATATTCTCTTCTAAAACACAGGAATAGAACTGATGTCACTCCTGTCTAAAAGCCTTCAGTGGTCCCTCACTGCCTATAAATTTAAACTCCTTAGTGTGACATTTAAGACTGTACAGTCTGGTTTCATAATTAAAAGACATTATCCTCCATCACTACATCACCATCAATCACTGTAGTCACACTGGGCCACTTAAAATTCTGTGAACACATCATGCAGGCTCTTGCTTCCACATAGCAGTTCCTGAGATTCTCTTTACCCAAAAAGTCTTTCTTCCCTTGCAAAAGTTTATTCACTTTTGGGCCCAATCTCTCTAACCCCAACAAATTGGAATCACTTCCTCCTTTCTTTGCACTTCCCTGACACTCAGCAACCCATTTCTGCACTGACACTTATCTCTTATGTTTTTATGGCTCCTGCAAGATGATGAGCTCTTTGAACCCAAACACTTCCCACTACTCATCTTCATATCCCTAGCAACTGTTAAATAGTTAAACCACAGTATGTGTTTGCTGAAAAAAAAATTAAATATGCAGTTTTAAGTTGTACAGATGTGTGTTTGAAATAGGATATGTGATACTGACGACAGAAGTAATAATTTCAACTATGTAAGCCTTTTTCTTTTATGGAGGCAAAATTTATATACAATGAAATTTACCTTATAACTTCATAAGTTTTTGTTTATTGCTTTTTATGATGCTGGAGATCAAACCCAGGGCCTTGCATATGCTAGGCAAGTACTCTACATGAATTACATCCCCAGGCCACTTAATGAGTTTTGATAAATGTATATGCTTATGTAACTGATCCCAGGATAACCAATACCCCCATCAAGATATAGAACATTCTCATGACTCCAGAAACTTTCCTTCCAGACAATCCCTCAATTATTACTTTGACTTTTATCACCATGACTTATGCTGCAGTGTATGTATGTGTATACACACATGTATATATACATACACACATATAAACACATACATATGTATGTATATATACATATATATTCATATATATATGTATGTGTGCATTTTTTTTTAAACTACTGGGGATTGAATCCAGGGATACTCTATCACTGAGCTACATACATACTATTTTATTATTTGCTTACTACTTATTTTGCATTACTGGCAACTGAACCCAGGAGTTTTACACTGAGTTACATCTCTAGTCCTTTATCTATCTATCTATCTATTTATAAGCCAGGTCTCACTAAGTTGCCACAGCTGAGTTACATCTCTAGACCTTTATTTATTTATTTATAAGCCAGGTTTCACTAAGTTGCCAAGACTGATTTTTTTTCTTTTCTTTTTTAAAAAAATTTTTATTTTTTATTAGTTGCTCGAGACAATACAATGATCTTGACATATCATACATTTGATTCAAATGGGGTATGAATTCTCATGCCAAGGCTGATCTTRAACTTATGATCCTCCTGTCTCAGCCACCCAAGTCACTGTGATGAGAAAAAATTGAGATAGGATCATACTAAATTGCTCAGGCTAGCCTGAACTTGCAATCCTCCTTACTCAGTTACCTAATAGCTGGGATTACAGGCATATACTACCACACTTGACTTGTTCATTCTTTTGTTTGATATTTGGATTGCTTCCAGTTTTTTAATGTTATAATAAATAAAGCTACTATAAACATTCTTACACAAGTGTCTTTGTAGACAAAGTCATTACTAAGAGTGGCTTTGTAGGATGATAAGGTAGAGTTATATTTAACTTTATAAAAACTTCCAAATTTCCAAAGTGGTTGCACTATTATATACTCTTACCAGCAATGTTAAGAGAGTTCTACTTGCTCCACACCCTTTGTCAACGTTTGCTGTTATCAGTCTTTTTAATTTAACCATTCTATACAACAGTCACTAGTATGGCAATATGTAAAAACGTGGATGTGTAACCGATGTGATTCTGCAATCTGTATACGGGGTARAAATGGGAGTTCATAACCCACTTGAATCAAATGTATGAAATATGATATGTCAAGAACTTTTCAATAACCAATAAAAAAAAGAAAAACAAAAAAAAATAATTTAACCATTCTAGTAAATGTGAAATGGTCTCCTATTGTTTTAATTTGCATTTTCCTGATAACTATAATGCTTAGCACTTTTTTCATGCATGTTAGTTGTTCATCTATTTTCTTTTGTTAAGTGTCTCTTAAATTATTTTGTCATATTTTTATGAAGCTGTTTATTATATACCTGTTTATTATATACCTGTAGCAGTCCTTTGGTATGTATGTATGTATGTATGTATGTATGTGTGTGTATATATAGATAGATAGATATATAGATAGATAGATAGATAGATAGATAGATAAATTTTTTTTTTCCAAATGAATATTTTCTCCCAGTCCATGATTTGCCTTGTTGTTTTTTTTCTTTTTGGTACCAAGGGTTTGATTCCAGGGGTACTAAATCATTGAGCCACATCCCTAGCCCTTTTTATTTTTTATTTTGAGACAGGGTCTTGCTAAGTAGCTTAGGACCTTGTTGAGTTGCAGAGACTGGCTTTGAACTTGTGATCCTCCTTCCTCAGCCTGCCGAGTTGCTGGAATCACAGGCATGCAATGGCTTGCCTTTTCATCTTCTTAATCATGGCTTTCAATAAGCAGAAATTTCATTACTGACAAAGTCCAGTTTTGTTACTTTTTTTCTTTCTTTCCTTCTTTATCTTTAAATTTTTTTTTCTTTTGTATTTACATGTGGTGCTAGGGAACGAACCCAGTTTCTCATGCATGCTGAGCAAGCTCTCTACCACTGAGTTACATGACCAGCCCCATTTTTTTATTTTATGCTTAGTAATTTTTGTGTCATACCCTTCCCAAAAGAAATATTTGTCTACTGCAATGTCACAAAGTTCTTTCTTATGAGGTCCATGATCCATCCTGAAACAATTTTTGTGCTCAGTATAGGATAGGGTGACAGTTTATTTTTATCTATGTTTACTCTGTTGCTCCAGTACCATTTGTTAAAAAGGCTTTCTTTTTCTCATTGGAACTTATAGTGTCTTTCTCCAAAATAAAATATATTTTGTCAAAAATATAACCTAATATAACCTGATGCTGTGGGTCTGTTTTGGGCTCTCTATTCTATTTCACTTGTCTAATATTATAAATACATTACACTGCTTTGATTATTGTGAATTGGTTATTCTATGTCCTGAAATCAGATAAAGTAAGTAAGTGCTTTAACTTTCTTCTTTTTCAAGATGATTTTGACTAGTCCAGATCTTTGTATTTCCAGATATGTTTCAGAAAAAAATTTGTTAGTGTCTATGTAAAAATATACCGAGATTTTTAATTTGGATTGTACAGACTCTACATTAATTTAGAAAAAAGCTGGCATTTTTACAATATTAAGTTTTCTAATTAGGCACATAGTATATATTTTAATTTATTTAGCTCTTTATTATATTAAAAGTTTTGTCAACAATATCTTATAAACTTCATTGTGAAGGTCTTGTGTGTCTTATTAAATTTATTCTAAACTATTTTATGTTTTAAACGCTATTTTAAGTATATTTTTTGGGAGGAGGGATGGGTACCAGGGATTGAACCAAGATTTATAAAATGATGTTTTAAAATAAAATTTAGGTAAATTCAATGCAAAATTAGAACTAATCCAGATATCTATCACTGACAAATGGATAAATAAAATCTGCTTTATCCATGAAATTGAATATTATTTGACAATAAAAAGAAATTGTTCTGAGATATGCTACCACATGGATGAAGCCTGAAAACATGAAAAGTGAAAGAAGCTAGTCAAAAGGCCATATATGTATGATTCCACTTACATGAAAAGTCTGAATCAGTAACATCTACAGAAATAAGGTATATTAATAATGGTTACCTAGGGCTGGTAGGGATAGATACATACAGGGTAACTGCTAATGAATGCAAGGTTTCTTCTGGGGGTGATGAAATGTTCTAACATGGATCGTGGAAATGGTTGCATAACTCTGAATATGTGGGAAATACTAAATTGTAGACTCTAATTGGGTGAATTATACAGCATATGAATATATAAATAAAGGGTATTTTTTTAGGGGATACCAGGGATTGAACCCAGGGGTGCTTAACCACTGAGCCTCATCCCCAGCCCTTTTTTATATTTTATTTAGAGGCAGGATCTCATTAAGTTATTTAGGGTTTTGCTAAGTTGCTGAGGCTGGCTTTGAACTTGTGATCCTCCTGCCTCAGGCTCCCAGGGATTACAGACGTGCACCACCATGCCTGGTATATGTCAATAAAGTTGTTACAAAAAAAGGGTTAGGTCTCCTATCTAAKAATTCTGATTTTTAAATTCTATATTTAATAATTTATAATTTCCTTTTTACTTATAACTATATGGTTTAAAATTTTATCAATTTAAATAATTTAGTGAATTTAATTGTCCTAGCTTTTCCTTCAGTGTTTTCAATAAACATGACCAATATAATAATTCTACATATTACTATATAGATGCACTTGGACTTTAAAATGACATAATTGCATCCTCATAATTAGGTATAAGGAAATTGTCAAAGTAGTAGTTTTCTTTTTCTCTTTCTTTTCCCAGCACCATGTATTAAACCCAGGGGTATTCAACCACTGAGCCACATCTCCAGCCCCTGCTCCACACACGCCCCACCCTGCTTTTTAAAAAACAAATTTTTTTAGTTGTAGATGGACAAATAACTTTATTTTGTTTATTTATTTTTATGTGTGCCTCACTCATGTGAGGCAAGCACTCAACTGCTGAGCCACAACCTCACCCCCCTTTTTTTGATATTTTATTTAGAGACAAGGTTTCACTGAGTTGCCTAGCACCTCACTTTTGCCAAGGCTGGCTTTGAACTCGTGATCCTCCCTCCTCAGCCTCCTGAGCCACTGAGATTACAGGCATGTGTGGGCCACTGCCTGGCAATAGTTTTCTGTTGAATAAGGATTGACTGCTAATAACTGTTTCACATCTATTATCTCATGTGATTTTTTGTTGTTGTTGTTGTTTTAATAACTCTGAGGAAGGCAGAAAAGGTGGTGTTATCTCTATTTTTTAGACTGGAAATGGAGGCCCAAAGGCTGAAATATATGTCATCCTTAAAAAAAAGAGGGAGAGTAAAACACCAGATCTCTGAATGCCCTTTTCTTTTCCCAAGAACTTAGCCAAGTTAAGGGAACAATGACAGCAATCTGGGCTGGAATGTCCAGATAAATATTATCATGAAGGACACTGGCTTTCTCTGTCATATGCTTGGAATTAGGGCAAGTTAGTATTATGTATGGAAAGTTGCTATCTTGCACACATGTCAGGATAGCTGCTCCTTGGGATGATGAGCATACAAGGAACAAACTAAACAATTTAATGATTGTCAATGTTTCTATAGCTTAATTTATAAAATTCTTCTCCCTACAGTAACTGGTATGGATCAGAGCACTGTCTAAAGGGAAGTGCTCATTTGCTACCTCCTGACAAAATATGACAGATGGAGGCACTGTTCTCAGGCAAGGCACCAGAGGTACCAAGTGAAGCAGAGGTGTACCTGTCTAGCCTGTCACCTCTGGATTCTCAGGCAAAGTTATCTGTCAATCATTGCTACTGGACCTTCCCTGTAAGCATTTTTCAATGAACTTTATATCTCATGTCCCACCTCCAGGTATATTCCTTGGTCTCTCTGATCTTATCTTACTGACCTAGCACAACTGGGCTTAAAACATTACATATAACCTTTGTCTAAGGTAAAACATGCAGTTCAATTCGACAAGAATTTTAATTCTAAATCTAGTATATTCCAACACTATGTAAAGTGAATCAGTTCTCCTAATTTTTTTCTTTTTTCTAGGGTAGAATTTTTTCTACTTTTTCACTGACATTTTAAATATAAAGGACAAACGTAGGGTCAATGGGAAATAGAAACATAATCATTTTCTTTAACTCTTATTTTTGAAGAAACTGAAAGTTTGGAGCAGGGCCATAAACATTCTTCACTGTTGAGTAGGGGTAAATTTATAGTATGTTTTCCCTAAATAATTCTGTGATTACTTGCATTTAGGTATACCAATTTGTGAACAGAAATTTTTTTAACATCTAATATATAAAGTCTAATTATTTGTGCTAGAATTGCATATGAATTATAGTCAATGACGTACTCTGTTCAGTCTGCAGGACAGTAACTACCTATATTCCATGTTTTTTTTGTACTAACAGTTTTTGTCTAATATAAAAAAAAATTAGGTCCTTAGTCATTCCTTAATATAAACTTGACAGATCCTAAAATATTATCTGCTACATAATATAGCTAACCCTAATAATCTTTTTTTCTTTTGGTACCGGGGATTGAATTTGGGGCAGGCACTCAACCACTGAGCCACATCATCCCCAACCCTATTCTGTATTTTATTTAGAGATGGGGTATCACTGAGTTGCTCGGCATCTAGCTATTGTGGAGGCTAGCTTTAGACTCTTGATCTTCCTGTCTCAGCCTCCCGAGCTGCTGGGATTACAAGCGTGAGCCATCATGTCCAGCTGACCCTAATAATCCATAAACATATTACTTTGAGAGAAAATTCATCAAAAGGGTAGAAGGTAAACTGATCTTGCCTTAGAAAAATGATCTCTCTCCAATCAGAGATAAGGAATGTTTCTGGAAAGATCTCTATTCCTAGCAAACAACATTAAGGCAAATCTCTACAGTTCTGTGTATTCTTTTTTTGGGGGGCGGGTATTGGGGATTGAACTCAGAGGCCCTCAGCCACTGACCCACATCCCAACCGTATTGTGTATTTTATTTAGAGACAGGGTCTTACTGAGTTGCTTAGCACCTCACTTTTGCTGAAGTTGGCTTTGAACTTGCAATCCTCCTGCCTCAACCTACGGAGCTGCTGGGATTATAGGCATGCGCCACCATGCCTGGCTCAGTTCTATGAATTCTTATAACAGTTYCCATGCTAATTTTTCTACTCCAAGTTAAGAGTGAGATAAGAAATATTACTTCACTTTCAGAAAGTAAAAAACTGACATGAACTAAGAGACACAGGCAAAGGCAGATATTAACTTTTTGATTCAATGTTGATTTGATTTGTTATAGTATAGGACAAAGAGCCCTTAACTAGCAGTTAGAAAATATGAGTGTTAGTTGATTTTGCCATCTGCTTCTCTGTATGATTTTAAGCAAGTCATTTTACCTGTGATCATTTGTTTTCTCATCTTTACAGTAGGGTTGAAAATACTTCTTTGGATTTCTTATTTCCCAATTGGATAACATAGTATATGAAATTATAAAGTCTTATACAAACATATAACATATGMATATACATGAATGTAGGTTTATGTATATGTGTGTATAAATATACACTCTAATACTTTTCAATATTAGCCAAGCTGAGAGCAGTGATGCATGCCTGTAACTTCAGGTACTAGAGAGGCTAAGACAGGAGGATCACAAGTTCAAGGCCAGCCTCAGCAAATTAGTGAGGCCCTGTCTCAAAAAATAAAAAGGATTGGTGATGTAACACAGTTGAAAGCCCCTTGGGTTCAATTCCTAGTATTAAAAAAAAAATTAGCCAAGTTTAACTAATATTTGATGTTCTAACTCTGTTAAACTTTTTTTTTAATATTTATTTTTTAGTTCTCAATGGATACAACATCTTTATTTTATTTATATGTGGTGCTGAGGACCAAACCCAGCGTCCCGCGCATGCCAGGCGAGTGTGCTACCGCTTGAGCAACATCCCCAGCCCCTCTATTAAACTTTTAAGGCTCTATGGAATAAAAGATGAACAAGACATAGATTTTGATTCCTAGGAATTCACAGTTGAGAGAGGAGAAAAACATTAAAAATAAACAATTACACAAAAAGGAATAAGAAAGATACTAGAGGTATATACCAAATGCTATTAGAGTCCAATAAGAGATAAAGTTATCCTACCTGGGGGGAAAGAAGCAGAAAGGAGATGGCAACTAAAGTTGAAAGAAGAGGTCAGTTTACTAGCAGTTTGTCTAGACATGTGGTCTTCATAATAGAACACAAAGAATCCAACATCTCTATCTTACGACCAGCTCTTCCTCCAATAATTAAAGCTGGTATTTAACATATTTACACCTCTCTTACCACAAGTTTAAATGAAGGGCTTAGACAAGATGAACTCATAAGTTCTTCCAGCTCTAAAATTACATGATTCTGTGAGTTAAACTCTGGTGATTATACACAAACCAAGGAATAGAACTCAAGACAGTAAGGAAATAAGTAGAACTATTAAAAAAGGAGTTCTCCCATTTTAGTTCTTGGAATTAAGACTCTGAGAATAGTATTTATCTCTACCGAGAATGATTCTAGACCTGTTAAAGAGTGGAAACTGGAATGATATCAAGAAGCTGAGAAACAAACAATGCAGGAGCAATAAATAGCATGAAGGGAAACATTCATTTCAGCAAAGATGTCACTTGGGCCAGTAAGGAAATAGGGAGCAGATAGGAAGCTATGTTTACATTTATATTTCCAAGAAAAATCTGGAATAAAAACAAACAAAACTAGACATAAAAATTTACACATTCATAAAATGAAGTTGTTGTTTGCCTTGGTAAACAAAATTATAAAAAAGTCCTATTGTTGGGGGTGTAGCTCAGTGGTAGAGCACTTGCCTACCACGCACAATGCCCTGGGTTCCATCCCTGGCACTAGAAAAATAATGATAAATAATAATAGTAATAATAAATTTAAACACCTCTTTGTATAAAGAGGTCCATTTAGGAATTATAAAGAAAAGGATCAAAAACTTAAATATCTACATATGAATTAGTTGCAGGAATGATGACAAAGGTGGATACTACCAGGAAATCTGGTTTATCAAACACTTATTAAACTATATTTAACAGCACTAATTGTACACACATAGTTCCAGTACCACAGGGGTTCACTAGCCCAATAGAAAGACTTCAAGTGAGACAGTATAGTAACTCTTACCCATCAATGATATTTTCAGGTGGGTGTTTTTCATCACTTGATGTAGCTAAAACCACTTCAGACCCTTCAGAGCTCAAACAAAGATCAAATTGTCTCATCTTCAAGTGTTAAACCTGCAAATAATAAAATAAAAAATAAAAAAGCAACTCCTTGATTCTCTTAGCTTCATCTAAAAAAGGAAAGAGAAGGAAAGCCTGTTGCGTAGCATACTGTTTAACCACCAAGCAATTCAACAAGTGGGAGGGACTCCAGTGTTTGTTTATATAAGTAAACTTCTGACCTCAACTCTGTTCTACAAAATGTCTTTTGACTACCTAAACTGACATCATTTCTCTGCTCCAATAATTACATGGAAACTGTTAACAAGTCAGGGAGACATAAATTAGTGGAAGTTGTTAATAGTTATACTTCTGAAATTAAAAAAAAAAAAACCTGGAAGATAAAAACAGATTTTATAACTGTTTATCCATATACTTTTTTCTTTTTTKGGGGGGTGGGGTACCAGGGATTGAACTCAAGCACTCGACCACTGAGCCACATTTTGTATTTTTATTTAGAGACAGGGTCTCACTGAGTTATTTAGTGCCTTGCTTTTTGCTGAGGCTGTCTTTGAACTCACGATCCTCCTGCCTCAGCCTCCTGAGACGCTGATTACAGGCATGCGCCACTGTGCCTGGCCATGTATTGTTTTTTGTTTGTTGGTTTGATTGGCTTGGTTTTGGTACAAGAGTTTACTATCCTGCTTAATTTTTTGTCATTGGACTATACCATACATACAGAAAAGTGCACACATCATAAACATATAGCTCAATAAAATTTCATGAATAAACGCAACTAGATAAAGAAATAGAACACTCGAGAAGCCTTTCTCACCCCCCCCCCTTAAGAATTACCAACCCTCTTGCCTTCCCCTAAGTAACTAATACTAAAGATTAACTTTGCCCAAAATATATGTACATGAAATCACAGAGTTAATACTGGCTTTCCCCGCTCCCCTCATTATTGTTTGTGAGATGTGATGTATCAATGTCATATATAACAGAGACTAGCTACAGAGGCAACCCAGCCCTTACTCAGTACAACTATGTATGAGATCAAAGAAACTAGCCCTTGTGGAGCTTCACAGGAAACTGAGTATGAGCTGAAAAGCAAAGACAGGTTTCTTTGGTCTCAGGTACTTAGACACCAAAGCCCTCAAGAAGGAGGGAATTAATCTCATTCTCAGTTATATGAAATCAGAGTCAACTAAAACTATTTAAATCTACAACTTGATCTACACCCAAAATAATTCATAGCTAGACTGAATTGGTTTACCCCTCATCCTCACTACTAGATTAAAGAAAGATTGGGTTTTCTCTCTAGGGAAGAAAAGGAGTGGGGGAAACCAATCCCCAAACATTATCTGTTTCAGTCTCTACTATTATTTAAAATGCAATATTAAACAAAGCCATTAGAAGCAAATCTATAGGTAACTAAGTACTGGAATGACCCAGGTGCTAATTTGCATTAGCAAACATAAAATATTATATATCTGTTAGAGAGAAGATAGACCAATGAGTGAACAGAAGCAGCACCTTAGCAGGAAATGGAGACTCAAAAATGGAAAACCTAGAGCTTAAAATACAGCATCTTGGGCTGGGGATGTGGCTCAAGCAGTAGCGCGCTTGCCTGGCATGCGCACGGCAATAAAGATATTGTGTCTGCGGAAAACCAAAAAAAAAAAAAAAATTAAAAAAATTCTCTCTCTCTCTCAAAAAAATAAAATAAAATACAGCATCTAAAATAAAAAATTCATTAGTTAGGTGAAATAGTTGATAGGATCTAGCGTAAGAATGGGATCAGTGAACCTAAAGATGGATTCAGGGGCTGTAGGCCTTGCTCACTAATAGAGCACTTGCCTAGTATCCTGTTAAGACCCTCTTATGACCAGCTCTGCCTCCAATAATTAAAGCTGGTATTTAACATATTTACATATTACACATATTAACATATATACACCTCTCTTACCACTCCTCTGCACAACCAAAAAAAAAAAAGTCAATAGAAATGATCCAAAATAAAACAAAAAAAAATTTAAAAATTAAGATAACAGAATAGAATATTAGATATCCTTTAAACAGTATTAAACTATTAAAGATACTGTTTGGCCCTTTACAGATGCAGACTGAAATACATGTAATTGAATTCCCAAGAGAAGAGAAAGTGAATGGTGTAGAAGAAAATGATGAAGAGATATGGTTGAAAATTTCTCCAAATCTATAAAAGACATAAATCCACAAATCTTAAGACTCAGGAACCCACACTAAATAAATACAAAGATTCCATCTAGGCAAAACATAGTTAATTGCTGAAAATTAAAGAGAAGAAATTAAAAGCAGTCAGATTTGGGGCTGGGCTTATAGCTCAGTGGCAGAGCACTTGCCTCATCCATTTGAGGCACTGGGTTCGATCCTCAGCACCACATAAAAATAAACAAAATAAAATAAAGATATTATGTCCGTCTTTAAAAAAAAAAAAAGCAGTCAGATTTTGTAGAACAGTTAAGAATTAAAATTAGGGGTTGAGGCAGTAGCTCAGTGGCAGAGCACTTGCCTGGCTGTGAGAGGCACTGGTTAGATCCTCAGCATTACATAAAAAAATATATATATATTAATAAGCAAAGATATTGTGTGTCCATCTACAACTAAAACAATATTAAAAAAAAGAATTAAAATTAAAGGGCTGGGGTTGTAGCTCAGTTGTAGAGCTCTTGCCTAGCATGTGTGAGGCCCTGGGTTCAATCCTCAAAGGGGAATTTTTTTTTTCAATTTTCATCAGAAATAATGCAGACCAAAAGAAAATGGAATGGCATTTTTGAAGTGCTGAAAAAACCCTACAGAATTCCATATCTAGCAAAAAATGTTCTAAAGGCAAATTAAAGGTATTTTTAGATAAAAACTGAGTATATATCAGTAGACCTATACTATTGGAAAAATTAAAGAAGTTCATTAGGCTAAAGGTAAATGATTCCATAGTTACATTCTGGGTCCAAGGGAAGGAATAAAGAGCATTATAAATGGAAAAAATATCGTTAATATAAGTGTATATTCTTAAAATAAATTTATAAGGTACTGGGGCTGGCAGTATAGCTCAGTGGTAGGGTGCTTGCCTAGCATATGCAAGGCCCTGGGTTTAATGATGTCCAGTACCAGAAAAAAGAACTGGACTACTGTYTGGGTCTAAAGAAGAAAAATTAAAAATATTATCAATGAATGTTGGTGATTTAACAGATGCAGAAGTAAAGGCAAGGGGGAAGGTAAGTGAAAGTACTTATAGAGTATTTTAGTAAAGTTTTTACACTGAACATGATGTCATAGAATATTAACTCAAAGTAGACTAGATGTTAAAGATGCATGTTATAATCCTGGAACTAGAATAAAGTAACTGCTAAAAAAAAAAAGTAATATAAGAGAACCATTATGGTTTGGATATGGTTTCTCCCTCAAAGATTCATGTGCTGGAAGCTTGGTCCTTAACAACATAACAACACAACTCTGAAAGGGGCAGGGGTTGGGGGTGGGGGTGGGGTCCATATGTTGTGGCACCAGCCTAAAATTTTACCCAGCAACTCAGAAGGTTAAGACAGAAGGATTACAAATTCATGGCCAACCTGAGAAACTTAAGTGAAACCCTGTCTCAAAATTTTAAAAAGGACTAGAGATGTAATTCAGTGGTAGAGCATCCCTGGGTCTGATGCCAGTGCTAAAAAAATAAAAATTAAAAAGTGGGACCTTTAAGAGGTGGAGCCTATTGGGAGGTGATTAGGTCATAGCTGCCTTTGTAAAGGAATTAATGCTGGTTTTGTAATAGAGTGGGTTAGGTCTCATAGGAGTCAATTAGTTTTCTGGGAACTCAAGTTATTATAAAAGAATAGTCATGTTCTCCATCCTTGCTTCCTTTCTTGCCATGTGACCTCTCTTTCTCCCATATGCTATCCTCAAGGATGCCATCACCAGAGCCTGGCAGAAGCCAGTGCATGCTCTTGGTCCTCCAGAACTGTGAACTAAATAAAATTTTTCTTTACAAATTACTCAGCTTCATGTATTTTGTTACAGAAACATAAAATGGACTAAGATAAATGTCAACAGAAGAGAAAGTCTGGAATATCATAAAAATAATTAATCTGGAAAAAAGTAAAAAGGAACAAAAGAATAAGAACAAATAGGACAGACAGGAAAAAAACATCAAGAACACAGAACTTAATTAAGTACAAATATGTTTTCCTGCTAAATATTAATAAACTAAGCATTAGATTATTTTACTGAATTAAAAAAAAAAACAACCGTTTTTAATATTTATTTTTTAGTTTTCGGCAGACACAACATCTTTGTACGAGGTGCTGAGGATCGAACCTGGGTCGCACGCATGCCAGGTGAGCACGCTACAGCTTGAGCCACATCCCCATAACCAACTGTTTTTGAGCACAGGAGCACCCTACCACTAATATACATCCCCAGTCCCGTTTATTTTGAGATATGGTCTCATTAAGTTGCCTAGGCTGGCTTCTGGGCAACTTGTGGTCCTCTGCCTCAGCCTTCTGAGTCACTGGGACTATAGGCATGTACCACCATGTCCGGCTTAAGATACATATTATTAATATAAAGATGCAGACTGAGGGCCGGGTTGTGGCTCAGTGTAGAACACTTGCCTAGCATGTGCGAGGCCCTGAGTTCAATCCTCAGTACCACATAAAAATAAATAAATAAAATAAAAGTATTGTGTCCAACTACAACTAAAAAATAAATATTAAAAAAAAAGATGCAGACTGAAAGCAAAAATGATCAAGTTTGGGCTGGGGATATGGCTCAAGCGGTGGCCCTCTCGCCTGGCATGTGCGTGGCCCGGGTTCGATCCTCAGCACCACATTCAAACAAAGATGTTGTGTCCGCCGAAAACTAAAAAATAAGTATTAAAAAAAAATAATAATAAAAAAATAAAGTGGAGTTGCTCAGGCCTAAAAAAAAAAAATGATCAAGTTTAATATTTGACATGGTAAATTCCTCTACTTAATTATCAAAATTGGTTTGGTCCTATACTTTGTACCTAGCTTATTAGAAACAATTTTCTTAAACTAAATGAAAATTTTGAGATTAGATAGCAATTCAATTAAATTATAGATTAATTTTGGGAGAAGAGACATGTTAATGATAATCAGTGCCCTGAATCTAGCATATCTCTTCATTTATTAAAAAACTTTTWAAAAAAATCATTCTCCAAATATATGTCTTTTTTGTTAGATATACTCTTAGACACCTTATAGTTTTTCCTTCTATTGAAGTGGGATTTTTTTTTTCTTTTTTGGTATCGGGGATTGAACTCGGGGAACATAACTATTGAGTCACATCCCAGCTCTTTTTTGTATTTTCATTTTGAGACAGGGTCTCACYGAATTGCTTAGTACCTCGCTAAGTTGCTGAGATTGGCTCTTGATCCTCCTGCCTCAGCCACCCGAGCCACTGAGATTATAGGCATGTACCACTGTGCCCAGCTACATAAGTGGGATCTTTTTAAAAATAACATTTATTCTTGATTATACAATTGGTATTTTTTTTTTTTGCAGTGTTATGGATGGAACCCAGGCCTTATACATGGTAGGTAACACTTTCCCACTGAGCTATGTCCTCAGCTCCATAAGAAATACTTCTTAACATTTCACCATGAAATGTGTCATGTACACTGTGGTTTTTGTTAGATATTATTAAGTAAACAGAAATTTCCTTCTCCTTGTTTGTTGTTGGTTTTTTTTCTATTAAATATGAATAAGAATTGAGCTTTACCAAATACTCCTCTATATCTACGAAAATAATCATAATGGATTTTTTCTACAGATCGTTAACGTGATCAATTAAGAAAATTTCTATTGTTATAGMATCCCCATTATAGTATCCCCAGTTCCTGGCACGAATTCTATCTACATGTCTATGGTGCATTATTATTTTTACAGTTAAATTCAGTTTCCTAGTATTATACTTCGAATTTTTGCAAATATATTGTTAAGATTATATTGGCCTATAATTTTTCCTTTAGTTCATATGTCTTTGGAATAAAGATTGAATTCCAAAGAAATCAGAGAACTTTGCTTTCTTTTTCTAATTGTTGGAACAATTTATATAAGGTAGGGGTTATCTGATCTTGTATACCTGGTGAAGTGTTCATAGCGTAATTTTTGACAATTCAAATTCAATAGATCTCTTCAGGTTTTGTATACCTTGAGTCAATTTTAGTCAGTTGTATTAATTATTGATAATTTGTATTTCATAAGAGATCTAGTTCTTCTTAGTTTTTATTTTATTATAATAGAAAGTAAAGCCCACTTTCTATCTTAGTTTTAAAATCTAGTAGTAATAGTAATAAAAGCTGGGTCACACTGGTCAAGAAAAAGAGATTCTAAGCCAGGTGCAGTGGTACATGGCTGTAATCCCAGTGACTCAGGAGACTGAGGCAGGAGGATCTCCAGTTCAAAACCAGACTCAGCAATTTAGCAAGGCCCTAAGCAACTTAGTGAGACCCTGATTCTAAATAAAAAATAAAAATGGATGGGGATGTGACTCAGTGGTTGAGTGCCCCTGGGTAGAATCTCTCATACAAAAAAAATATATATATATATGTATATATAGATATGAATATATGTATACACATACACAGACACACACACACACACACACACACACACACACACACACAGACCAGACTGGGGTAGGAAATATGGATTGTAGGACAGGCTGCACTTTAGGTAGTTTCTTATAACTTTTTGAGTGGCTGTACTCAAAATAATAATGACTATTAGAACAAAATAAACTTGTGGAAGACTTTTATCCTTTTAAGAATTTTAACTAAGGGTACAAAAATATGCTTATCAATTCTACAGACAATAACAAAGATGGGGTATCAGCTAATATAGCAGATGATGCAACTGACTCTCAAAGAGAAGTGATCAGGGTTTGGGGGGGTGTATCTTAGTAGTAGAGCATATGTAAGTAATGTGTGAGTACCTGGGTTAAATCCCTAGAGCACGTCTGTGCATGCATACACATACATTCACACACACACACACACACACACACACACAGAATAAAGACACAAGAGCAAGCTAGAAAGGTGTGTGGCAATGAATTATAAGTTAAAGATAATCAAAAAGGCTTATACTTAAGTCTTAAAAAATTAGTCCTACAAGATCAGGGGTTAGCAAACTACTGCTTTCAAGTCAAATCTAGCTTGCCACCTATTTTTTTTTTTATGATCATGAATAGTTTTATTAGAACATGGTTGTTCTCATACTTTTACATATTATCTATGATTACTTTTGTGCTATAGTACAGCTGAATACCTGTGACAGACTATAAGACCAATAAAGACAAAATAATGTTTGGCCCTTTACAAAAAAGTTTGCTGATCCTTGATTAAGATGTATAAAACTTATTGGCTTCATTGATCATTAAGTCAATGACGATAACAGTGTACTATATCTATCTCCAAAGGTAAAGAAATGCCTTCTTCAATTATTGAATAGGGCTTGAGGATGCAGCTCAGTGGTAGAGCCTTTGCCTAGCACATGAGCCCTTGGTTTGATCCTCAGCATCATCAAAAAAAAAAAAAAAAAAAAAAAAAGGTAAGGAAATACTATATTCTGTCAAAATTTCTGAATACAAGCTAAGGCCCTTTTAAACCAAGGGCCAGGCACCATGCTAGTAATGAAAAGATGCATACAACCTAAGTTACTGAGACTTGTCTGTTTTCAAGCTGAGTCAAGGAAGATGGACAAATATGCAATTAATAATACAATGCCATGTTCTAATATAGTGTGACCCACACAGAATAGTTATTCTATATGTGAGAAGAGTTTGGTTTTTTTGGTACTGGAGACTAAACACAGGACATTTTACCACTGAGTTCCTCAGCCCTTTCTTTTTTGAGATAGTCATGCTAAATTGTGGAAGCTGACCTTGATCCTGTCATCCTCCTGCCTCAGCCTCCTGACTCTCTGGGATTACCCTTGTGATGGACTTGTTTCCTTAAAAAAAAAAAAAAAAAAAAAAAACAACTTAATTCAACTTTTACTATCTGAATTCATTTGAATGTGTTCAAACAAGTGAACATAGTAAAGCGTGTATTCTTCATTTCTTATGTAGACCGAAATGTACAAGGAATTATATTTATGAATTAGAAAACAGTTACATTTTAGGAAAATGCATCTGGAATTCACATGTACATTAAGTAGATAAATGGGATAGGGTGTATTCTTCAAATGTTCAGTTCTTTGCTTACTGCACATTCTTAATTATCTAAGTTGTCTGAAGGAAGCAAACAATATCCTTTGATTCCCTGTTTTGGAAAAATTGCTTAAATAACAAGAAAGAAAGGGAGGGGGCTGAGTTCCCTTTAAGTTTCTTTTGTTACAATTCAGGAGAAAGGCAAACCAATTCCAAAAAACCCTCAAGGAACAACAGTATGCTGTTCTCCCAATTCCAAGGTGCAGGTTTAAGATCTCCATACTGAGATGCCTTGCTCTAAATAAAAAYGTATTTCTTCAGGGCCTCAGTTCACCGAATGTGGGAGGTGCACTCCAAGATGCCATCCTTCCCATTTTTATAATCGCTAACTTTGGACTTCCCTGCTTTACCCTAAACCTTGGCAACTGGTTTCACCTGGAGTTTCACACGCCCTTTCAGTGCATCCAGTCTCCCCGAGGCCAGGACCTGTTGCTAGAAAGGCGGGAATCGGCCCTGGACACAAAGCTCACATCCATCCCAAGCCTTTGACTCAGTCCCTTCCCAGGTGACATAAATACATTAATTGAGCCCGCCTTGATAGTAAATACAATTTATAACTACATGGGTTATGTTGCAGCTACATCTTAAGTTTAGGCAGATTCATTAACTTCGATTTGCAATCAGTTTTCCCTTTGGGAGCCAAAGCACTACTTCAAACCTCAAAAAGGTCCGCCCCGGGCCAAGCGGGGAGCACCGGCCGGCGTCAGACGCCTTCATGAGGCTACCCCTCAGCGCCGCCCGCCACACCCCCGCACCTTCCACGCCRCGACTCCGCACCAGCCCCCCGAGCCCGCTCCCTTCGCGCCAGCATCCCTTCCGTCCGCCTAGCCCGCCAGACTCCCACCTCCCCCGGTGCCGGCCTACTCCACCCCGCTGACTCGCTCGCCTGGGCCTCAAGGTAGCTCCGGGCGTACCGATGGTCCCGCTTGGGATTTCCCCCGCGCCCAGCTCGGGGCGCCCCGGCGGAGTCCCGGCCACGCGCACAGCACTACTCAAAGAGCCCCACCCGTCAGCTTCCCTGCAAACTCGCCGGCCCAGCTTCGTAATCCCGCCCGAGCGCCTTTTCCCAGGCCTAACCTCCCCTAGCTCAGCTCGGCTCAGCCCAGCTGGCCCGCAGGACCGCAGGACCCAGGAGACCCGCCCTCACGCGGGCACGCACGCGCAGTGCCCAGCCCTGCCGGCTCCCAGCCCCAAGCCCTCAGGTCGCTAGCCCGGCTTCCAGGCCCAGCCCCGCCTCCAGGCCGGCCCCGCCCTAGGCCCGGCCCCGCCCCTTATGCCGGCCCCGCGCACGCGCGCCTCCATGGCCCAGCCCTCCCCCCGCCCCGCCGGTCCCGCGGTCCCACGGCGCCAGGTCGCCCCCAGCCCCCTCCCTCCTGCCACCCTCTCTGTTTCCCACCCTCGTCAGCGTTGTGCCCAGTGTGTCGAGCCGCCTTCCTCGTCAGCCGCGCCACGGAAGGAAGGAGCCGCCGCCGAGGTGCTGCCGCTCGCTGCCCCAGGCAGGGGCACAGGTAGGTGGCGGCCGCGGGCTTGGCCGCTGGCCGAACCCCGGGCTGCGTGTGGGGGCGGGGGCAGGGTGTGAGGGAGGGGCGGGTGGGGGAGGGGAGGGCGAGGGAGGGTGGGAGGATGAGGATGTAGGGGTGTGGGAGGTGGGTTTGAGGGTGGGGGCGGGGAGCCGAGGAGAGCTGTGGGGGCGTGTGAGACTCGGGGTCGGGGTGCGAGGGGAAGCAGCACTGGCTTGGGAGGAGTAGGAGAGAGCCATGCGTGGGAATTAAGGGGGGGGCGAAGGGGAAGGTGGTTTGGGGGGGTGCACGGAAGAAGGGAGCTAGGAGTGGAATGGGGGAAGGGGTGGGGTCTTGGAAGCAGGGAAGAAAGAAGTTGGGGCTGCGGATTGTGAAGTTGGGGATGGTGAAGCGTGAAGGAATGGGATTTTGAGGGTTGAGGACACAAGACTGGAGAGGAATGGAGAGGTTGGAGTCCGGGGAGAGGAAAGCCGGAGGAGAGGAAGGGAAGGACAGATGCTGAAGGACTGAAGAGATGTGGGTGGAATGGCGTAGAGACAGGAAGGGAAGCAGGTGGAGGTGGGATTGGGTTTTGGGACTAGGAGCTACGTTTTTGGAAGGGGTGCGGAAGGATTGAAAGGGTGTGAGCTCTGAAGAGGGGCAAATGAGCTGTGAGTGTGTGAAGGGGAAGGTTTAGGATTTGGGGTGAGAAGCTGTAGAGTTGGTAAGATTATCAAGATGTGGAAGAGATTAGTTTGCCCTTGAGGGAAAGTAGAGAGCTGGGTACGTAGTGAGCCTCCAGAGTTTGTGGGAAGAAGGGGTATGGGTGAGAAGGCAGGTAGGGAAGTGCAAGCTACAGGAAAAAAGAAGTAGTGGGGAGAACTGAAAATTGAATAATGGCGGTGACACAGAACAATGAGAGGGGGATTGTTTGTTGGTTATAGGTAGTTTAGAACTGCTTTCTTTTCGAGTTTTTAATGTTAGAAACTTTCTTAAAAATTTTAATAAGTTAAATGTGTCTGCAGTCTTGAAATGAAGGTCATGGGTTGACAGATGTTTTCCTGGTGTGGGATGTGGCTAATTCCTACCCTGGCAGAAAGAAGGGAGTCCTCATTGTAACTCTATTCTGGCTCTGTTCCCACCAATTCTCTCCTCAGAAGTCCCCTGTTTTTTGGTTTTTGTTTTTAATCTCCTTTCTTTTCCCTACCACTCAGCCTGAGCCAGTGAGTACCAGAGGGATCAAACAGGTGGGTGAGATTAATTTTTAACGTTTTTTTAATCCTTAAGGTTGATGTCATGTTTTTATTCTTGAGAGAGAGCATCATGCAATGGAAAGAGCTTGAACTTTGGAGTAGTACAGCCTTGACATTGAATTTGGGCTCTGCCAATTACTAGCTCTGTTCCTTGAATAAGTTACCACCCCTTAGGATAAGTAATTACATGAGGTCATTTTATTTAGTACTTGTTATAGTGCTTGACAACTGGTAAGCACTTAATAGATGGTAGCCTTTGCATCCAGTATTGACTAATATCAGTCATTATTATAACCTGTTATTCTTTTTTTTTTTTTTTTTTTTTTTTGTACCAGGGATTGAAGCCAGGGGCACTTAACCACTGAGCCACATTCCCAGCCCTTTTATTTTTTGAGACAGGGTCTCACTAAGTTCTGAGGGCTTCACTAAGTTGCTGAGTCTGGCCTTGAACTTGAGATCCTCCCGTCTCAGCCTCCTGAGTTGCTGGGATTATAGGTATACACCAGCACACCCAGTTTAACATGTTATTCTTAAGGGGTTGTTAATTATTTTACCTACTAAAGTTAGGTGCTTTCTTACTTTTCTTCTTCAAATTAGATAACTGCAGGCTCATCTCGAAATTTTAACCCTATTATCCTCTTCATCTTCCTCCCTCAGTTCACCCGACTGGGATAATTATGCTTTTTGCTTGGTAAACTGGTTTCAGGGTCTGAAAAACTGTCATGTTTAGTTATTTATTTATTTTTTCCTATTCAAAGAAGCTACAGAGAGCTGAATTTTGATGTACTAAGGTCATATTTCATTTATTGGAAGAAATGATACGACAACTTTGGCTCACTTTTGATGACCAGACCCTAGATTATGCACTACTGTATTGTTTTGTAAGATATTGTGTGTGACAAAGTTGCTTCTCTGGAGAGGACTGGGAGACCTATTAGAATGCCTGTCACTCTGGCCAGACATGGTGGTATATATAATCAGGAAGCTAAGGTAGGAAGATCACAAGTCAAGTTCAAGGGCAGCCTCAGCAACTTGGGAGAACCTGTCTCAAAATAAAAAGGGCTAGAGATATAGCTCAGTGGTAAAGCACCCCTGGGTTCAATCCCTAGTCCCCCCCCCCAAAAAAAAAAAAAAAGCAAGTACACCTGTCACGCTGTTGACCTAATATAGCTGCAACTGATCTACATTGGACATTGTTATTCTTGCAGATATCCACTATTTTAATTTTCCAGTTTCAGAGTTTTGCCATCCTATAGAATAGGCCCTGTCTCCTGAGAGGTCAGTTTGTACAATAGCCAGGGGCAAGCAAAGTTGAATACAGGAGCTTTGTGTAGAATCATCTTGCTTTTGTTGTTCTTAACCTCAGAAGATTCAAACATTAATTTAATTCTTAGATCATTTTATAGTACAATACAAACTCCAAGGAAGCACCTTATTGGGAGGATACAGGATATACAAATTTTAGTAGAAGAAATCAAAGGTCACTAGAATTTCCTGAACCAACTTCAGTTCCTTATATATCAGTTGAAGAAAGAAAGGCTTTGAACAACTGGACAAATGATATGGTTCTACTCTTCAAGAAATACTGAAATTTTTCATTATTTAGAAAGAGAAATAGCATTTGATGAGTAATTTAAAGATAAAATATAGTTATAACTGTGCCTTTATGCAAAATGATCCCTGGAAGCTCAAGCTGACAGGATTTGGGGCAAGGGTTAGCAGCATTCTTACTGTGGTCCCAAGCTGTTTGTGCCCTCTGCTGGATGAAGTCACACTTTTCTAGTTTTCATCAGAAATTGTCATCCATACAATTATTCTTGAATTTGTTTATTTTACTCCAAAGTTTGTGGAAGGTTACTATTGGGACTGAGGATTATGAGCAGTGAATATGGACAGACCCTATTTCGTTGCTCAGGGCTCATGATGTGCTGATTTATTCTAATGTTATCTTCCATAGAATTTGCCTTTCTACCATTAAAATTAAGTCATTTCTTTTTAGGGCCCTTGGTGTCTACTTCCTGATTGGCAGGTAGAGTAGGCTGTAAATACCATATGAATAAAGACTGAAGGAGATCTGCCTTTTCTCCTCATTAGGATTAATGTCTGTGAGGTTGAAGGGGCCAGATATTAACCTCTGCTGGATGAAGAGTTTAGAATAAGTGAGGCATCTCCTTAGCAGCAGACATTGAGTGCTGACAAGAGAAGAGTGGGTTATGAGAGCTGGCACTATGACAGAATTTTCCCCTAGTTTTTAGTTCTTTCTTTCTTTGTTTTTTCCTCCTGGTAGTACCAGTAGCAATATACTCCCTTCATCTGGTCTGCTTCAGCCACCTGCAGAAGGGTCTGGCAAGTGGGGGAGGAGCATGCAGCTGTTACTTGGAGGAGGAGCTGGCTCCTAGCAACAGTATCAGCAGGCCCTGTAACTCAGAGCACTAAATCTGTCCCTTTGAGGTCTCTCTCTTCCTCCTGTTTAGTTCAGCAAATATCTTTTGAGGGCTTACTCAGTACTAGGCAGTTTGTTTGTCTTAGGAAAGAGAGATGAATCAAATTTTAAGTCCCTTGCCTTTAAATTGCTCTCAGCTCTTGGTACAGTAACAAGTAAACAGACTTAGATGTAGTACATAGTACTAACTGCTAATGTAGAAGGAGACACTGGGTGCTCTGGGAAAACCAGACAGACATGTCCTGGTGCAGGGGTTGGCACAGGATTCCCAGGAGGGGGATGATGTTGGAGCTCGGTGTTAATGAAAAGTAGGAATTAACTAGCTCAGGGAGGCAGAGAAGGATGCTCCAGCTGAAGGGAGTAGAATAGTTCAAGACCAGTGGAACAGAAGAGCACGACCAATTTACCAAGTAGTATAGCATGGCCATGGAGCAAGGGATAAGGGGATGAGCAGGAGAGGGTGAGGCTCTAAGGCTAGACTGGGTCCTCTTTTCTGATGTGCTACATACACATAATTATCCTTGGGAGAATCATGTATAGTACTGATTTTCACAAACAGGATCATTGTTTGATCTCCAGAGACTCAGCATTTTTTATCACTGACTTAATTGTTTGCTGACACTTGTAAGTGGCTTCAGGGCTGCTTGTGGCCCTGCTTTAATGCAAAAGCTGAATTGTTCACTCAAAGGTCAGTCAATCTTAGGGATAATATCAGGCCTATTTTTATTAAATTTTACTTCTTTTCTCTTTGAATTGTAGMAATGATTATCAAACACTTTCATTTTATTTCAGATAGCAATTTTTCATGTGTTTAGAAATCTCAGTTACTCAAGAAAACAAGTATTTATTCCAGTTAGTTGTTGGGCATATAATGTA